TTGAATAAATTAAATGATTTTATTATAAGTTTATATTTTATGGAACAAGTTGGAACCTTGATTTAACTTTTAAGTCATTTACTGATAAAAATCAACGCTCTCATTTACCTGTAAGGTTTTAGTCCATCAAAATTGCATTACACGAAATTATTTACCAGGTAAGAGTTTATCGGGTAAAAGACTCGGTTTCTTGCCATCTTTCTTATCGGATAAGATTTTCGATCTTTGTCATGTTCATCCGGTAAAATAAGTGATCCGGTAATCGCTTATTGGATAAGTTTTTTGGTACATGGCCCCTAACTATTTTTAACCATATTAATTAAAATCTATTCAAAACTTCACATATGCTTAATTGTTAAGTTATTGTATCAATTTTCATTACATAAAGATAAAAAAACAACAACAGAGGGAGAAGAGTTTACGTTGTGTTCTCGAATTTAAAGAGAAAAGAAAAGAAAAAAAAGATCTCATTTTTTTTAAATATATCCTTTAAAAATATGTCATTTACAATGAAAGGTTACGTAGTTTTGTAATTTTAATAATCATTTTAAAGGGTTTTAATTTCGTTTCTTTCCTTCATTTTCCTCCCACATCTGGAAGAAAAGTTTTGGGAGGAAACTTATGATTATTTTTCTTCTAAAAAAAGTTTCGAGAACACGAGTGTAATAGCATTACTGAAAAGAGGCACCATGCTCACTTTTTTTTTGTAAGGATTAACTGTGGTTAGGGGTCGTTAACCCGCAAACTTGGTGTAAGGATTGATTATAATTAGAGGTTGTTAATCGAACGCTTATCGGATAAGCCCTAATTGACAAGAGTCACCACTCTCACTTTTTTTGTCAGATAACATTATTGGCAATCAAAATTTGATTGTTGCTTAAAAAAAATTACCCGGTAAGAGTTTTCTCCCTCATTTATCGAGTAAGATTCTCGGTACTTGTCATGCTCATTTGGTAAGATAAGTGACACATAATAAATGTTTGGTAAACGATTTGGAATGTGTTTCATATGTATGTGTGAAACCATAGAGAGTCGATAGATCGAAAGATGATTGACATCTTAGTGCGAGGTGAACCAAAACAATCAGTGGCACGAGTAGATTTAGGGAACTTTATGCTTAAACTTCTTATGTTAGTTATCCGGTTTGCTCTCACAACTTCACAAAAATTTACCTATTAATAATTATATTTATCAAATGTAGTATATAAACAGTATTTATAAAAGTCTGTTAATTATTTCTTTTGAAATTCTACACAGAACAAATAAACAAAGATAACAGATTCCTAGTTTAGATAAAACTACGATTCTAGACAATCAGACCCTTTAATTCAAATTCCTAACAGTATTTATGACAATACTTTTGTTTTAATTACTGATTACTTTTTGACTGATTTTTCGTTCATAGTTATTAATTTTCTCAAATCTATTTGGTTCTTGAGTTTCCCAACATCAAGCTTTTACAATCAAATGGATAAAATACTATATGAGGGTACAAGTACAACATGTGATTCTTCAAAGCATACTATTTGTTGATCTTATACAAGTGCAAGTAAAAGTTTGCCTCCTAAACACCCAACCATCTCCACTTTTGCTTTAATATAATACTGGTTTTGGATTTCGTGAAAGGATTTGAAATTTTTTGATCTGTTTGGTTTGTAAGATTTAGAATGAATTTGTATTGTATTATTTATAGATAATTGAGTAAATTATAATTTTGGTTTTTGTGGTTGTCACTCGTTATCTAGTTTTGTCTCTCTTTAAAAATAATTACAACTTTGGTTACTGTGGTTGTCATTTTGTTTCATTTTTTTAATTAAAATTAAAACCTATATAATTTGGTTATTGTGGTTGTCATTTTTTTTAATTAAAATCTCATTTAAAATTATATACGTTGAAAACACTAACCGTAACCGTAGAGTTGGGGTGTGAATAGTTACATTTAGTCCCTCCTTCCTTTAAATTTCTCATGCAATTTGTGTTTTTAAACCCCAAATCCCTTATTTCACTCTAAATAAATTATTTTATCGTATGTTTTACGAAACAAATTATTAATAATACTAATATAAATATTTATAATTAAATTCAAAAATAACATAAATGAAATATCATATACTTCTACGATAAATTTGCTTCCAATTTCTTCACAAATAATTTTAAATTTTAAATTTGAATAATTTTTTTTTTATTAATCTGGATATCCAACCCACTATGCGAGCCGACTAATCCCAGGATGACCACATGCTTTACAGATAGCCTAAAGTCACCATATTTGAACCTCTGTGGCCATAAGGATATTTTTATTCCTCCTTGGAATTTAATTTGAAACCTCCTGCTACTTTTGACCTTAATTTGAATAAAATTTTAAAGTTGAATGAATCACGTTAATATGGTATCATTATTATACAAACATCTTCTTCAACGAACTTTTAAAAGGATTACTATATATAGACATCAAGGGTAAACTTCGTTTTTAGCCCTTGTGCTTTTTCAATTGTATATATTAATTAAAATAGCGATTTCCGATTTATGGTTTACCTTTTGGGGCTCGTTTAGTTTGCATGATTGTTTTTGAGAGATTTGGATTGCATGGAAGAATGTGAAATCATTGGTGTATTTGGTTTGTAGGATTTGGAATAAAATTTAATTCTAGTATTTACAAATAATTTATAAGAATAATTAAATTACATTTTTATAAATCAATTATTATAAAACAAATGTTTTTTTTTAACATTTTATAAAATCTTATTGTATACAATTCTACGAAATTTCGTGAAATTCCGAGCATTCCCTAAGGATTTCAAAATCCTATGCTTGTAGGATTTCAACTTAAATCCTAGGATTTTAAATCCGGAAAATCCAACAAATCAAGCATGAGAGTGGAATGAATTTGAAATCTAAATCCCTTTGAATCAATTACATTCCTATAAACCAAATGGGTCCTTAGTCATTTCTCTTCTAAAATCACCAAAATGCCACTAGGTCCGCAAGTGGCATGTTTGCAATTTGCCGGAGGGTCAATGTAAAAAAAGAAAGTTTTTGAACCAAGTTCGCAGGTGCAAGGACCAAATATGTAAAATAGATATAAGTCCGTATTTTGTAGAACTGGTTTAGAAAATTGCAGAGGTGGTTGGATTAATTTACAGATTTGGTCCCTGTCATACACGTATATGTACACAACTAGTGCAGTGACCTCCATCCAAACCCCCTACAATCTCCGACAACCCCCACCCCCTACCCATCTGATGTTTCTCTTTGTCCCTCACATTTCTTTTTCTTCAGCAGACATGTGAAATCATAGATTTGTGTTTGTTGTCACAAATTTGTCAAGGTTTTTGTGTTTGGTGAAATCATAGATTTGACAAAAGATATCTTTTCCGTCCTCCTTTACTTGATCGTCGATTGATTTAGGTTTGGTTGGACTGGAGTCTCCATGGTTCCTGGAGATGCTGCAAGTTTGGGGGCGGTGAAGGCGTGGGTTTTGATCATAGAGGGTATTGGGGACGGAAGCGATAGGTTTTTTTCCCATTGTTTTTCTTCTTCCTCCTTAGGTATAGGTTTATTTTGAATTAGGCTTTTGGATCAAAGAATATGATAGGAAGGGGACAAATTTCAAATCTGGTCTAGTTCTTGATTGTTTTAATATGGGTTTTGGTTCACACTTTTCGGTGACTTTGGTCACTCTGAGATCATCACGGAGATTGGGAAAGAAATGAGAACATAAAAGGTAAAAGGTTTGCAAGTGCGGGTAGTCTTAGGTCGTCAGAGAGTTTTTAGATTGTTAAAGAAGAACAAAGGTGAGGTTTGCAGAAGATTTTCCGAAGGGTTTGCAAGGTAAGGCAAGAGGTTTTGTAGGTGAGGGGGTCGAATGGTTTGTTGGTAAGGAACGCCAGAAGTTTTCTCGTCTAAGGGTATCAACAGGAAAATTTTTGAGGGGAGAGAAACACATATATTACTAAATATGAATGTGATATAATGTATATTTATACTATATTATAAAGCATTTAACAGAAACTCTTAAAAACCATTTTTTATTCGTAAAGTACTGTTTATTAATGCATATTACTTAAAACTTAAGATTGCAGATAAATTGTGCGTAAGTACAACTTATTAAAGCTCCATATCTGAATTCGTGTAACTAATTGTAGATAAACATAATCAAATACATAATAAACATCTGATTTTAAATATAAAATATAATTAGAATAATCATTGAGTTTTAACAGAATACTTAATTATTATCTTTATCAAATTTATATTATTAAAAATCAAAAATAAATTATTTCATTATTAAACTCAAATAAAATTATAATAAAAAAATAAATTAAAGAAATCACATATAAAAAAATGAGAACTTTTAAATAGTTGATTTGATATCAACATTAATATATGTTTTTTCAAATTTTTATGATATTTTCAAGTTTATATTTTATTCAAAAATAAAATCATTATTGTTTTCTTAAAAACATATAAAATCGTATTATAATATCGACAGAGACAAATAACAATATAGAATATTAAAATCGAGATGTATCTCACTACATTACACGAATACTCTTCTAGTTATATAAAATAAATCTAATATATTTCTTAATTTTTTAATAAAATGAAGTGAAATGTAAAAAGACCATAAAAACTAAAGTACCCTTTAAGTTAACAAACCTATTTAACTTGAGGGATCAGAATTGAAACAACAGGGACCAAAACTGTAATTTACTCTAACTTTAATCTTGTATATGGATGGTGACACGATGTTTGACTTTATGTTAAACATCGTAGCTGTTCCAGTCTTCTTCTTAAATCTTGAACCCTGGCCCACAATCGACTTGGGGTACGGTCAATCTCTGACATTACGTGTTACCCCACCATTGGTTCCTCTGTTTGACTGCTGATTAACGTACAAGGGCATTTCTGTCATTTCATAAACCGCATCTTCTCTTTGACTCTCCCCCACATTTTTATTAATTACCCCCCTTTCCCCTTTTGCTTTCTCGATCCACCCCACTCTCCTATGTTTCTGATTTAATATGGCGCTTGAATTCATGGATTCTTGCAGAAACACTACCTTCCTTGCTAAAATGGAAGAAACTGCCGTTAAAGAAGCCGGCGCCGCCGGAATTCGGAGTCTTGAGAATCTTATTGGCTTACTTTCATCCCATTGCCACCGTAAACCGTCGTATTCCGTCGCTACCACCGATTACGTAACCGTCGCTGATGCTGCTGTCACTAAGTTCAAGAAATTTATATCTCTTCTCGATCGAAGCTGCACCGGTCATGCCCGATTCCGACGAGGGCCTGTTACAGACCCACCTGTTGTTTCGGAGAAAAAGGTGACATTGGCTTCCACGGCGGTGAATAACAGTCAGAAATACCATCAAACCTCCGTAGCGACGGCGGAGATGGGTTATTCTGCCCCACCGATTCAGCAGCGGATGCCACAACTTCCTCAGGTTTCCGACCATCGGCCGTTGGTGAAATCGGGATCTTTTGATAGGAAGGATGTTCCTACGACTACTATCAATTTCGCCGCTGCTGCAGCTTCTCCGGCGAATTCTTTTATGTCATCGTTGACCGGAGACACCGAGGGATTGCAGCCGTCGATGTCATCTGGATTCCAAATCACGAATCTCTCGCAGGTTTCTTCCGCCGGCCAACCAAATCTGTCATCTTCTTCTTTCAAAAGGAAATGTAATTCCACCGACGATTCTCACACAAGGTGCACCAATTCCTCCGGTCGCTGCCATTGTTCCAAAAAAAGGTACTGAAATCTGATCCCCTTCTGAAGAAACAACTTCAAACCATGATTGATTCCATCTGGGTGTCAACAAGATGATCAATTATTTGGTTTTAAACTCGATTATTTGCAGGAAATCAAGGATGAAGAGAGTGGTAAGAGTGCCGGCGATAAGCTTGAAGATGGCCGACATACCGCCGGACGATTATTCTTGGAGGAAGTACGGTCAAAAACCGATCAAAGGTTCACCACATCCGAGGTAAATCTCTTGTTATTGGTTTTAGATCTTGACTCGGGTTAATTAACTCAGTGATTCTGATTTATAACTCGGTCTATTAAGTATTGTTGATTCCGTTGGACAATGGAGCCTCCCCAAAAAAAAGTCAAAGAGTTGGACTAATGGTGAAGGGTACTTTGGGTAATTTACATATGTGGGTTGCTTGGACTTTTATTTTTGGGGTATTTTTTAAATTGGAGATCCAAAAGTATATCTTCAATCACAAGGAATATTAGGTAAATATTGCCAACAACCAAATAATTAAAAGACAACAAAGTCAACGATTTGTAAATAGTCAACTCAAATTCTTGCTTGATTGGTTCCTCTAATTGCTTAATTCTAATAAGTCCCTTTTAATTGTTTATAATGAATTTCAGGGGTTATTATAAATGCAGCAGTTTGAGAGGCTGTCCTGCAAGAAAACACGTCGAAAGAGCTTTGGACGATCCAACAATGCTCATAGTGACTTATGAAAGCGAACACAACCATTCCCTGAACGTGAAAGATTCATCGGCAACCATAATTTTTGAATCTTCTTAATTTCCACTGTCGAAAAATATATATAGAAAAAAGCGTCTTATCTTCAAAGTTGTGAGAGGATGTAAAAGTGTTAATTGGGTTCAATCGTCAACAGGGAAGCTTGCATTTCACTATCTTTGTACCCTTTCAAAATCTTTTTATGTTGTCTAAGTTGAAAGATTGAAACAAAAGTTTTTTTTATTTTTGATTAACCTGGATATCTAATCCGCTATGCGAGCCGACTAATTCCAGGACAACCACTTGCTTTGCAGATAGTGCGGAGTCGCCGCATTTGAACCTCCGTGGCCACAAGAGGATTTTTATTTCTCATTGGATTTGAACATGAGACCTCCTGATACTTTTAACCTTTAGAATCAAGATCAAACCAATCAGGCACCACACTTGTGGTTGATTGAAACAAAAGTTAAAGTTATGGAAGGTGAGAAAAAGGATTGTGGGTCAGGTGGGAATTGAATTCAAATTGCAATTATTCCGTTTAAAAAATTGATCTTACTTCGCCACATTTTTAAAGGACAAAGTAATCGCTTACTTTATTATTTTGACAGCTAAAATGACGTTAGATCTTGTGGCTGGTTAATTTGGATATAAATTAAATCAAATCAAACAAATCCAATAATTTGTATGTTCAATGAAATAGAAAAGTATTGTTTTAAGTTTTTGTTTGGAATTTACATAAATATGTTATTAATTCGAGTGAATTACATTGGTGGTTTATGTGGTTTGCTCAAAATTTGGACTTGTTCTGTAAAACAAACTATTTACACTGATAGTTCATAATCTTTTTGTTTTACAAGACTCGTGATCTCTAAAGTTAACATCATTAGTTATGAACAGTTATAAGAGACTAATTAATCTTCAGGTAAATTATAAAGACCAAAAGTGTAATTTGTTCTAAAGATTTTGTGAATTGTGTCTTTTTTCTTTTAAATTTTGCGAATCACAATCTCTCTTATAATAATAAAAAATTCATTTATCTGTAATTACAAATCAAATTTCTTATAATAAACTGCATAGTAAATAAAAGTCTTTAGATTTATTTTAACTGACTATTAAATTGACAAAATTATTTTTATCTTTGAGATTCTCAAGTTTAGAAAATCAAGAAAAGTTCACGTATCTTTTGGGTTGGATATTGAAATATACGACAAAATAATGAAAATTAAATATAATTAATGTGAGATAGTTATATACTAAAATTTGTTAGTTAGGAAAAATTAAATATGCTTTTAGAATTAAATTATCGTGAGATATTATTAAACTGAATTATCAACTAAAAAATTAAATTGATATAATAATCAAAATATTAATAAAAATGTGATAAATATGAAAACTTCTATTTAAAATACATTTATATTTTAATATGTACTTTAATATAAGAAATTTTATTTGTGATTGGAGATGTAAAATATTTTTTGATAATTTTATTTTATAAAAAAAGACGTGATTCACAAAAATTTAAGTGAATTATACTTTTGGTCCTTATAGTTTTTCTAAAAACGTATAAAGAGTATCAGTGTAGATTGTTTGTTTTAAGGATCAAATCCAAATTTTGAGCAAACCACAAAGGCCGTTTATGCGTTGGAGAGACCGTTTTTTATTTTGTGCCAAAGCTATTGCTGTTAAGGTAACGACTTCGGGCATGACCAACTCCCATAGTGTGACAGACGGTGTGTACAAGGCCAGGAACGGATTTATCGCCGTATGGCTAACCGGGTAAAATACTAAATGGAGTTATTCATATTCAAGCAAGTTTCAATAATACCATTATGAATCAACAATACGAGAACTTGGTCATAAATTATCCCTTAACAGGCTTGGGACATTATGGTTTTTTTTATTTATTAATCTAGATATCCAACCCGTTATGTGAGCCGACTAATCCCAGGGCGATTACCTGCTTTGAAGATAGCCCAGAGTCACCGCATTTGAACCTCCGTGGCCACAATGAGATTTTTATTCCTCCTTGGAACCTTATGTTATGTATCAAGGAAAATTAATTCTTGCTTCAGAAGGGACGTTTCTTGTGTTGAATAAATGGAAATATTACTTTGTCAATTTATATAGGATATGTAATTATTGGAATAATTTTTGGAGACTCGAAGCTAGATTTCCATAAGAAAATGCATTCGTTTGATGAAAAATAAAAAAAGGAAAATCAAAAATTCGAGTGGCTAAAGCTGAAGAAGCTACTTTCGAAGTAACAGAAAGAAAAACAACGACTTGAGTGGGAGAGTTAGAGTCGAAAAAAGGATTTCCCATTTCTTTCTCTCATCTAAAGCTGTGTGAGATGAAGATGTAACTCATCGTGTTAATTTTTTTTTACATAACAAATATATTATTAATAAATCTTTTTGGTGGAACATTTTGTAAAAAAAAGTAATATTTTTGTTTATTTTTCTGAAGTATATATATATTTATATATGATGATGTTCATTTTTGAACTCTTAACCTTCAAAGAGGTTCGGATCTAACGACAATCCGGTTGTCATAAGGCCACCAGCCCTTATCCTATCTTGATTACATATCCTATCTTGATTACATAAAACCACGATTTCATTTTAGGCATCTTTTTATATTTTTATATAAGGTCGATAAAGTGTACTACAGATTCTTTTACAAAATTATTATGTTTTAATATACAAATTAACTTAACAGGTTTTTTTTTTAAACATATATGCATTCTTCTCTAAAATATAGAACATCAGAAAAAAAAATCTAAATTTGGAGAATTTTGTGAATCATTACGTGTGAAGATAAATTAATTTTTTGTTCACTTTTACCTATAAGATTGAATTATTATTATTTAATTAATTCTTTTTAAAATATAGAGAATCTGTTTGAGAAAAATAGAGAACAAAACGTTCATTTTCTTTATTTTAAAGAATATGCAAAGATGATCTTAAATTTCTATTTTGGTTCTTGAGGTTTAATGAAAAGTCTTAAAGTGAGAACTAAATTTTGATAAGTTTAGAAATCATTCTTATGATTTTTATTTTATTATGAAAATTATCCCTACTCATTAATTTCATTTATTTTCTTCGGCATTTCAAGTCTTATTACCTTTTTTTACTAACTAGAAGATTACTTGCGCAATGTAACGAGACACATCTCGATTGTAATGTTCTATTTTATTTTTTGTTTATGTTGATGTTACAATACGATTTTATATGTTTTTTAAAGTTCTCATTTATGTAATTTGTTTAATTTATTTTTTTAATTATGATTTAATTTAAGTTTAATAATGAAATAATTTATTTTTGGTTTAATAATATAACATTTTATAAATATAATAATTAAGAATCCTGTTAGAACTCAAAGATTATCCTAAGTATATTTTAGATTTTTTATATTTAAAATGAGATATTTATCATGTATTTAATTATGTTTATCTACAAYTAGTTACATGAATTCAGATATGAAGCTTTAATAAGTTGTACTTACGCACAATCTACTTGTAATATTAAGTTTTAAGTAATATGCATTAATAAATAATACTTTACTTATAAAAAAATGGTTTTTAAGAATTTTTGTCGGATGCTTTATAATATAGTATATATGATAATGATACACAACCATCATCATCATCCGGCTACAAACAACACCACCACCACCCAAATCTCATATACTAATTCAACAACCAAATCAAACGAAACAATAATCAAATACCATGTACAAATCTGAAATCAACTGTAAGTTGTTTTTCAATTTAGGGTTAGTTATTGGGTTTAGTACACTCAAGAAAAACTCATAATGATCGAAAACCAGGTGTTGCTTAAACAGAAAAAACCCAAATCAGAGGAACGATATCAACAAGCAAATGGAATCTAAAAACCACAAACAAAAAGGGTTGGCAGAGGGAGAGGGTTCTCGTTGGTCATTGTTGCAGCAGGGGGAGAAGAAAACTGTGAACGATGGAGCTTTATCGTCGTCAATGTTCCCCACGATTTGACCAATCCCATTGTAGGCAACCATATATGGAAGAAGCTTGTTCTTTGTGAGTTCACTTGGCCATGGCCCATGGCACCGTACTACGGAGGTTGACTAGAAATGTCACCGATAGACTGGATGTGAAAGTGAAACTCATCCATCACATTGTTGATGGTTGCACACATTGCTCCAAAGGAACTGGTTTGATGTGTAGGTCTCAATCGAGGGGGTTGTAGGGCGCTAAAAAGGTAAAGGGGGATGGTGTTGTTCATGGGTGGTGTACATTGTCGTCGGAGGGGTAAGGGTGTGACAGATAGAGAAAGAGATACCCACCGGCCACCACGGCCACCACCATCGCCACCGAACCAGTGGTAAGCCACAAATCAATACCCATCGATGTTCGTCAAGGTAGCGTTTGCTACGCGAACATAATTGGACAAGACTGGATAAAACAGAACTGAACAGGAAAAGAGGGTAGGATTGGACGAGACAAAACTAAATAAGTTACCCCAAGAGTTATTTGATGATTTTAAATATTATATAATAATTATAATTAACACAAATAAAGTAAATAATTAAAGAATTTAATTTATAAATATTTTTATACAATTGTCATATAAATGAATACATGCATATATAATGGTATCAAAATTTGAATGAAAAATTTGATCTAGTTGATGGTAGTAGCAATGATGGTGGATGTGGTTTTGGTTATGGTGGAGGTAGTGGTGACCGACGATAGTAGTGACGATGGACGGTGGTGGTCGGTGGTTATGGAGGTAGAGGCAGTGGTGGTTGGTGGACGACGTGAAGATGGTGGATTGTGGTGATGGTGGCGGTTGACAACGCTAGTGGTGGTGGTTATGGTGGAGGAGAGGTGGCAATGGACGTTGGTGGTCGATGGTCGACGGTGGTGTTAATAAAACCAATACGAAAACAATGTTTAAAAAAGTAAAGTCAGGGTAACAGAAATGAGACGTATCCAAGAGCCAAACACATTTGATTATTATACGTATTTGTATTATATACGAATTTGATGGAACTCTCGTTCTAAAACACACCATAATTATGTTATAACAGCTCGAGGGTCAATTGCCACTAAAAACCCTCATCCTTTCTAACGAATGTTACAAACAAAAGATCGTCTTTGCTCTAAATCAACTCCCAATAAAACAAAGAGGAACACCAAAAGTACTTCAGATCCAAAACGACATGATTTTGTCCATGATGCTTATGCGTTATACCTTGAGAAGAAAATAT